AGCATAAATACTCGGAGAGAAGGGATTCAATGAGACAAAATACAAATTTTATGTTTTAATTTCAGCCATTCATGGGATTTAATCTTATTTTAATTTTGTTTTCATTTATATTTTCTCTGGATGACTTGGTTAATATATGTTGATATAATTTCTATTCAGAAGACTGTATTTTAACCTAGATAGGATGAATTAAGGCAAGGAATGTAGTTCTTGATCCTTCTAGGTTTTCTGATGTCCTATGGATTTATTTCTGAGAAAAACTGCATTTCCAAATGCAAACAATTATGTGATCCTATCAATCTTTCTTTAATGCATATTTCCTTTCCTTGCTGGTCCAGAAAATCAATCCAACCAATTAATGTGTTGGAGAATGGAAAAAAAAAAAAGATGATGCTTCTGTATGGTAGCCCTTCCTGTCACTTACAAATGCCTCTTAAATGTTTCAGGGAACATTAGCTGAGTATGTGAGTATGTGAAAGTCTGTCCCCAGGGAGCAAGGGGTGGAGGAAGGAAGAAGAATGAGGTTGTTCAGGTGGGTCCTGTTGAAGGTCTTCAGGATGTACAAGATGAAGTTGCTACTTCAAAGCTTCTTTTATTTTATTGTTATTATGGCATTAGGGGAACAGAAAAGGAGGAAAACAAAGCCAAACTTCTCATTTCATACACAACATGTTTTCTGAGATTGCTCGTGAAAGTGTACTGTAAAAAAACTACAATTCCCTTGAATTTGATTGAAAAAAAGTAGGAAATAATTTTTTGTTTTTTTTTGGTGGGAGCTAGAAAGTGGGGTACAAAATAAGAAGAGGTATACTTCCCAGTAATCATTCTCCTGTTATAGGATACTGGTTAAATACTTCAATGCAACAAACTTGCTCTCAGCCAAGAGAGAATTAAAAAGAAAATACAAATAGTTAGTCATAACCACATTTTGGAGAAGGAAATGGCAACCCACTCCAGTATCCTTGCCTGGAAAATCCCATGGACAGAGAAGCCTGACAGGCTGGAGTCCTTGGGCTTGCAAACAGTCGGACACAACTTAACGATTGAGCACACAAACCACATTTACCCGGTGTTAACGATGTCTCAGACACAGGTAAACAATTGTTTCACACACACTGTCTTATTTAATCCAAAATTAAACTCATGGGGTTAATTATGATTATTGTGCTAGGTTTATAGAAGAGGAAATTGAAGCTTAGAAATGGTGAGTTACTTGCTCAGCATCACACAATAAGTGGCTGAATCAGGCTTCCTAGGTGGTAAAGTGGTAAAGGATCTGCCTGCAATGCAGGAGCCGCAGGAGACTTGGGTTTGATCTCTGGGTCAAGAAGATCCTCTGAAGGAGGGCATGACAACCCACTCCAGTATTCTTGCCTGGAGAATCTCATGGAGAAAGGAGCCTGGTGGGCTACATTCCATAGGCTCACAAAGAGTCGGACACGACTGAATGGAATGCACACACACTGGGATTGATATTGAGAACATTGAAAACTCCAGAGCTTGTGGTTCTAAGCCTTGGACACACTCTTCCAGCCTGGGTCCCCTCAGGTTAAGGTAGCCTTTGTCCTTTCCAAAGACTTTAAACCAGCCCCCCAGGTCCACCTTTGCAGGACTATGTTATTCATTCTCATCAGAGGTAGCTATGTTATTTGAGGAACCAGTGTAACATGAAAATGTTAGCGGGGGTTGGAGAGGTCAACTTTTCTTTCCAGGGAGGTGCCACCTCAAACCAAAGCAGATGGGTGACTACCAGGAGATTGCAACTTCTGCTTCAGGAGTATCTGGAAATATGAGGAGGAAAAGGTCTCTGCCAAGTTACATGCTGAATGAACCAAGGCATTGTCACGTAAGTTTGGAGATGACTGCCTTCTTGCTTTGCCCGATGATATCACATGATGCACACACAAACTTCACCCACCTGTAACCATACCCAGGCCCTTGTCAGGGGCCAAGTGGTAGGGAAATACAGTCCTGCTTATCCACGTCCCTGGTGGCTCAGATAGTAAAAAAAGTCTGCCTGCAATGTGGGAGACCTGGGTTTGATCCCTGCGTTGAGAAGATCCCCTGGAGAAGGAAATGGCAACCCAATACAGTATTCTTGCCTGGAGAATTCCATGGACAGAGGAGCCTAGCTGGAGCGGGGTTGGGATTCCCAGCCAGAGATGGGCGGGGTGGCCGTGTTGAAGTGGTGAAAGTGCTAGATCCTAGCCACTAGACCAGTGGTCAGTGACAGGAACCCGACCCTTTGGTTTCGCAGAAAAGAATTCCAGAAAGACAGAAGGCAGTGTGAGACAAGTAAAGACTTTATTAAGAGGAAAGCGAATACAGTACATGTAGATAGGCGCATGGGCCGACTCAGGGAGAGAGAGTGTGTCACTGCGTCATGCCCTTGTGGTAGTTTGAGTGACTTTTATGGGGTATTTCTTCCCAGTTTCCTTTGGCCAATCATCTTGATTTGCTTGGTTCACAGTCCATATTTGGTATATCTCGGGATCCTCGCAAGTGTGCACACACATCTCTTAGCCGAGATGGAGTCTATCACAAAGGCGTATGGGTGGAACATAACTTGACGTGACTCCCCTTTGGTCTCCAAAGAGCATTTTTTGTGCATGTGTGGTTGGGGAGGTCTCCTGACTTCGAGAAGGAGAAATATATGGTCTGTGCAGGATCCACCCTCTTCCCTTAATTGCCCTGCTATTCTTGTCTTGGAGTTTCAGTCAATAGAGAATGAATCTCCAATGGCTTTACCCTGGGGGGGCGCCTGTCTGCCTCCTGCCTCAGAAGGAGTGGTAATGGGATGAGCATGTGGAAGGGGAGATCTAGATGATTCCAAGGCACCAGACCACAGAGACTGGGTTACTGAGGACCCATCCCAGAAAGGCAATGGGAAGCAGCACTGAATATAAGCTAAGCTTCCAAGTCCCCAGTGCATCCTCCATGGCCCTATTAGATTTCACTTACAAAACATAAGTTTAAAGATAAAATTTTTAAGTATTTCAAGGTGGCAATTGCAAAGAGTGAAGTCCCAAGAGTAGGGTTCTTCTGAGCACCTGGCTTCTCTGATCTTGGTGCCCTGTGTGATTGCAGGGCATGGTTACATACCCATGAAGCTGGCCTGGTTTTTATTCTCTGAGTTTAGTAAAAGAGGGTGTGAGGAAGGGTGATTTGTTTAAAGAGATTGTAAACTAACACTGTACAGATTTGTTGTTTTGGTGGCAAAACAGTGTAATGTTTAAAAGTCCGAGTTTAGATAGGTTCAGGCATGGAGTTGAGTCTCAACTCTTCATACATGATGACCTAAGAAAAGATTTCATTCTCTCAAAATCTGTATCTTCCATTGTAATATTGGATTAAAGCACATGTCAAACTTTGAGCTGGTTAAAAAGATAATTTTTAAAAAAGATACGACACAGCATCTGGCACATACCATGCAGTTAATAAATGTTTGCAATTACTATTATTGATAGCTGTGATTCATTTGAATTTGGAAACTTAAGTAAAATGTTAGTAAGAATTCTTGTCTCCTGGATTTTTTCTTACCATAGAGGTACATCTAAAAATTCTGAGAAATTTAATCATCACGCTAATAAAAAGCATTGAGCAGTGACTAAGTATCAGGCACTGCCTAAGTATACTCGCTTATTTTACTCCATGCTCATAATAACTTTTTATATAAATTTTGACAAGTCATTTTATAGATGAAGAAACTGAAGGTGAAGAAAGCTTAATAAACACACAAAATTTAATCTCAGCCTTCCCATGGGGCTCAGTGGTAAAGACTCCACCTGCAAGCAGGAGACATGGGTTCGAATCCTGGGTTGGGAAGATCCCCTGGAGGAGGAAATGGCAAACCACTCCAGTATTCTTGCCTTGGAAATCCCATGGAGAGAGGATGGGCTACAGTCCATGGGGTTGCAGAGTCAGACACGACTTAGCAACTAAACAACAACAACAAAATTTAATAGTGGATGAAAGGGCTGAAGTCTAACCTTCAGTCTATCTGACTGCAAAGTCTATGCTCTTCATCCCAACATTGTTGAGAGATGTGACCCTCAACCCTGGCTACTTACTTAAAATGTTAAAAAAAAATGCACATGCTGAGGACCCAACCTTGATTATTTTAAACAGAATACTGAGGGATGAGAACCGGAGAAAACACCACAAACAAAAAATATATTAATGTGTTTCTGGTGATTCTCATTTGCCCGTTAAGATTAGGAACCAATTGGTCTAAGTGGTATGATGCACCCAGAAAACCCATACTTTAATATACTATATGTTTAGTCATATTAGCAGGCCATTTTTGAATTCATGAAGGTTAACGGCAAGCCCAACCTATTGTTTTTATACTTTTTATCTGAAGAGTATTTTATTAAGGCAAACATCAATGAATATCCTTTGGAAGAAAGCAAAGTTATTCTTTTTTGCACAGGAAGAAAGAGTTGTTATTGTCATGACCTTGAATAGTCTTTTATAGATGGGTGTAGGAGTATGATTTATTTTTTCAAACTCAGAGAAGTAAAAGCATGTGTATTGACCTGAAAGAATGTGTGGAAAACATAGGATGAGGAGAAGAATTACTACATAATTTGGATCAGGAAATGTCAGGGTGGGTGGATGTAGGATGATGGAAAAGGAGTGTGTCATGAATACTTCATAAGTGAGCCCCTGCCTCCTCATTTGTATGTGTCATTTATAATGGGATGAATAATAGTGTTAAGATGTGTGCTCTGTGATATGTCCCTTTATCCAAACAAATACATGGCAGCCCAGATAAAACCAGTACCCAAGGCCAGCACATGCAAACCAGAGGTGTGGTGTTGATGATTCAACCCCAGTGCCAACTAGAGGGTAATTTTCCAGATAACTGCCTAAATTCTCTCGTTTTACTCAGAAGAAAGAGGATCATAAACCAAGTAATGAGTCCCCCAAATGTCTTACTCATTAATTTTGTTTTCCAGCATAACTTCCTAGAGTAACGTACAATCAAGGGACTGAAGATGTGTGTAGATACAAGTGATGGTACAGAGAGATGCTTCCATCCATTTAAAATAGGCAATGACCTGAACAAATCATGTCCAAGGACACCAAGTCAAGTAAAACCCTACTGTAAAACTGGCACCATTATATATTGTGTTGGCCAAAAAGTTTGTTTGGGTTTTTCCACAAGCTGTTATGGGATGAACTTTTTGGCCAACACAATAATTTGTATATCTCTAAGTGGAGAAAACATGAGTTTGATCCCTGGGTTGGGAAGATCCCCAGAGAATGAAATGGCAACTCACTCCAATATTCTTGCCTGAAAAATTCTGTGGACAGAGGAGCCTGTCACACTCCTACACTCCAAAGGGTCACAAAGAGTCAGACACAACTGAATGACTAAGCACAGGAAGTCAAGGGAAAAGCCTCAAATAATGAGTGTGATAAGGAAGTAAGGACAGGTCTCCATACAGGGTATTAGGAAAATTTGACTACTGTGTTTCTGGAATAGAATATCATCATTATGCTAAACAAAAGTATCAGGTACACTGGAATTCTGCTCTAGCATTAAAAACAGAGACTAATTCATGACAATCTAGAAGGTATTTCTAAAAAGAGTATAGGTTTTTGAATCAGGGTGTTGCTTCAATTCAATTTTGATTTTTCTACCACTAGCCACATGGCCTTGGGCCACTGACTTTGTGTATTTGAAATTGATTTTCTTTATCTGTAACATGGGAATAAGAATCAGCATTCAGAATTATTCTAATGCATACAGATGATATCAAGGCTTCACCCACTGGCTCAGTGGTAAAGAATCTGCCTGTAATGCAGGACTTGCAGGAGACATGGGTTCAATAGCTGGGTCTGGAAGGTCCCCTAGAGGAGGACATGGCAACCCACTCCAGTATTCTTTCCTGGAGAATCCCATGGACACAGGAGTCTGGTGGGCTATAGTCCATGGACTTGCCAAGAGTCAGATATGACTGAGCGTGCGTGCGCGCGCGCACACACACACACACACACACACACCAGGAAATGACATGTTCTGTGGAAACCAGCCAAACTACAGAAGTCAAGAGAAATTCTCTTTGGCAGGAAAAGCCCAATGCTAAGTATAATTCACATGTCAGCAGCAATAGTCTTTGATCCGTGAGGCAGGTCAGCAGGTAGGAAAGGTAAGGCTCAGGAGCTCACCAGAGCTGTTGGCATCCTGTCATTTCATTAAGGTAAGACTTCCAAATTCTGGTTCAGTTTTTGAAGCCCCAGGCCCTAGGCAAATGAACAAAATAGCTTCATAAAGATAAAGATCAAGGGAGGAGTCCATTTATAAGAACTGTAGTACAGCTTAAAATTTAAGAAGTGAAACAAATCCCAATTTTAATATTCAGGTAAAATAATGGCTGTATATATAGCAAAGATACTTTGATGCAGAACTGCTGTTACTATTGCTATTCAGGCATAATATTTACTCTTCCTAACAAATCCACATGACAGATAAAGAAATTATAACTCAGTAAGTCCAAATGAATTTCCCAAGACCAGATAAGTAGATAAGTGAATTCCAGATATGATATTCAAATCCAGGTCCATCTGGCTTTAAAGAAATGCATTGCACCTACACTGTTGGTGGGAATGTAAGTTGGTGTAGCCACTATAAGAAAATACTATGACAGTTTCTCAAAAAACTGAAAATACGTTTGCCATATGACCCAACAATCCGACTCCTGGGCAAATATCCAGACAACAATATAATTAAAAAGATAACATGTTCCCCTATGTTCACAGCAGCACTATTCACAATAGACAAGACAAGGAAATAGTCTTAATGTCCATTGATAGATGAAGAGATAAAGAAGGCCTGGTACATATATACAATGAAATACTACTCATGCGTATAAATGGACAAAATAAGGCCACTTGCAGCAACATGGATGGACCTCGATATTCTCATACTAAGTCAGACAGAGAAAGACAAATATCATATGGTATCACTTAATAAATTCCACTTAATGGAATCTAAAAAATGACACAAAAGTAAACTTTTATGAAATAGAAACAGACTCACAGACATAGGGAACAGACCTATGGTTGCCAAGGCTGAATGGGGTGGGAAAGGGAGGGAGTGGGAGTTTGGGATTACCAGATGCAAACTGTTATATACAGGATGGATAAACAACAAGGTCCTACTGTATAGCACAGGGAACTATATTTAATATTCTGTGATTAAACCATAATGGAAAATAATATTTTAAAAGACTATATATATATAGAGAGAGGTAAACTCACTTTGCTATACATTAGAAATTAACACATTAAAAATTCAACAATATTTCAATTTTAAAAAATTGAAGAATGAGTTGAAGTAATGTATAGTTTGCCAATCTTAAAAGAAAAAAAAAACAGAGAGCAAAAATCAACAACAAACACTCCTATTTCGACTCAGAATGGTTTTGGCAGCAGGTGGCAAGTTTAAACATGCAACGAATGATCAAATGGCTCTTGCTGCAGGAAACTGGATCCTAGGAGTCTAACATGGTATGACAGTTTGGTCCCTAACCTAAAGGACCTCAAAGTCATGCAGCTGCAACTTCTTTGTCTGATTGACAGTAGTTGTTTTCATGATTTTCTGTTCTTCACCATTGTTAGGGGCCTCTGGAATCTCATGAACTTCAGTGCAGTTCATTATAAAGCATGTGACTTTATAATAGAATTATCCTGATCACTGCGTTTCTCACGATATTTAAGTCAAGGGTTGTCCTTGCCTCCACGATTATGGAAGTTTCAAATATTGGCATACACACTAGATTAATTCCTTTTTAGCTCAAGTCATTTCCTGAAATCTGGAGGGCTAAGGGTTTATTTTACTTAGCCTCACTGGGACTTCTGAGCTCTCTTTGGAAACACTTTCCTCCGTGCTTCACTGCAATTAATGCTCAACAGTGCCTCTGGCTCTTCTGTCTGAAACTTCAGAAGCATGTGCAAAGGTCCAAAGGAAGAAGGCTATCTTCTCATTATTCCACCCAGGAAATGTCAGGGAGGCACTTAATTCCCTTGTAGACTGGAAGAGGAGCAGGTCAGAAGAGTCTGAGCTTTCTTCATTCCTATGAAGTTTGGCAGGGGTCAGGGTTTGAAGAGAAAGGGGCATTCCTTTCCTCCTCTCCAGAATTTTTCTTTTAAAAAAATTCTTAATGGGATTCTGAAGAGGTGATGGAGTAGAAAAGCAAAACCTCTCACCTAGTAAGTAGAAAATCTGTTCAGTAGATACTAAAGATAAATTCTCTGTAAATACTTTGTAACCATATTGTATGCCACAGGAATAATCACTTACTATACTTACCATTCTCTTGTCCATCTTCGTTTGTTCAGCTCTACAATTTTCATTCTACCTGAGACATTCTTGAAGGAGTCATAATAAAATGCGATTATTATAATTTAATTGGATATCACTTTTCCCTGAGTAGCTCCCTCAACCTCTTCCTACTCGTCTACATGCCTACAGGACTTAAACACACCTGCCACAATACTTAAATTTCAATCTCAAAAAAATACCGGAATGACAAAGAACCTAGTTCAACAGAAAAACTAAACAGCAATAAGGAATCTACTTTCAATGGTATATTAAGGGAGGTATGATGACACTTCTCACCAAACAAATAGTTTACAGGGAAACTGAATCACAGTTTATTTCTTTTAGGAAACTATGTTTTCTCCATTTAAAAATATATTGAAGACAGCCATTCTCAGTGATATCCAACATTAGCAGGTAGACAATTTACAGGAGATGAATTTCCCACTTTTGGATGCTGTAGTGTAGTAAATTGGTGAAGGCCTCTTGAAATTACTGAGCTCATCACAGGCACAAATGCAGTGAATGCTATTTATGTGTCTTTGTAGCTTGCAAATTTAATGAGGCTGAGATCTGAAGAATAAAAATATTTCCACTACAAAAATGAAGAAAATGTTGGAATGAAATCTAGGTTCACTGCATATCTAAGATCCCAAGACCCAAACAAAATTTTTCTTCCATAAGATCACATGGAGGGAAAATGAGTCAATGTTCATTGGAAGCTTTGTTTAAAAGACATCAAAGGGATGCTGACAATCTTACCATTTCACTCCTTTCTCTATCATCTGTAGAGACATAATATGCTTTACTTTCAGGAAACCTGAAGCATCTTATAAATTGTTGGTACTCCTCATGGAATGTGGATTGTGTAATTATTGGCCTCAAATGTATAAACTATGAATTAAGTGTCACTTGAATGGAAAATTATTTGAAGAAAGTACACCATGATTCACTTCTAATGAATGCTTTCATACATCTCTGCAAATGTATTCACCCAAAGAAGTTCTCATAGAAGCAGGCCAAGAAACTGTTCTTTCTTGTGATATTTTATCTAGCAATTTTTAAAGTCAAATAATTCACTAACACTAAGAAATTTCCTTTTATTTTTAAGTAGCACACATAGAAATTTCCTGTGCTGGGTTAAGTCTTACCAGATAGCCAACTGAAATTAAAATATTTTCCAGCTCACAAAAGCATATTACACAAAAGACAAAGAGATGTGATAGAGATATCAAAACATAAACTGTAAGCTTTGTTATTTAAACCCCCCTTGAGCTAATAATATGCACCATACCTCCTTTTAAAGTGAGTGCCAACCGAGAGTTACTCAAAAGTAAATATTCAGAATCAGATTCATTGTTTTCAGGGTTCAAGGTTACAGCACTTTTTTTTCTTTTTTAAACTTTATTTTTAGTGGAAGGATAATTGCTTTACAGTGCTGTGCTGGTTTGTGCCATACAACAATGTGAATCAGCTATAAGTACACATGTATCCTGTGCCTCCTAAGCCTCCTGCCCACTGACCCGCCATCCCACCCTTTTAGGTAGCCGGAGAGCGCAGAGCGGATTCCCCGTGTTGTACAAGTGCTTCCCACTAGTTGTTTCACACCCGGTAGTGTATGTGTCAGTGCTACTCTTCCAACTTGTTCCACCCTCTCCTTCCCCTGCTGGGTCCCCAAGCCCATTCTCTACGTCTGCATCTCTATTCTTGCCCTGCAAATAAGCTCATCGGTACCATTTCTGAGAGAGACATAAAAGTATAAACTACATGCTTTGTTATTAAACCCACCTTAACCCACCAATGTGCACTATCTCTCCTTTTAGAAATGAGTACCAACTGCTAGAGGGTTCCCTGATAGCTCAGACTACTGTCTGAGATCTGCCTGGGATGCAAGAGGCCTGGGTTCAGTCTCTGGGTCGAGATGATCTCCTGGAGAAGGAACTGGCTACCCACTCGAGTATTCTTGCCTTGAGA